CTTACACTGTAGGAGTGTTGATTTCTCCCCTGACCACAGGGCAAGGGGGCATTTCTCCACTGACCACAGTACGAGGGGGCATTTCTCCACTGACCACATTACGAGGGGGCATTTCTCCACTGGCCGCAGTGCAAGGGGGCATTTCTCCACTGACCTCAGTGCAAGGGGGCATTGGTGCCACCGGGCAAGGGGGCATTGGTGCCACCGGGCAAGGGGGCATTGGTGCAAGGGGGCATTTCTCCACTGATCACACAGGGCGAGGGGGCATTTCTCCACTGATCACACAGGGCGAGGGGGCATTTCTCCACTGATCACACAGGGCGAGGGGGCATTTCTCCACTGATCACACAGGGCGAGGGGGCATTTCTCCACTGATCACACAGGGCGAGGGGGCATTTCTCCACTGATCACACAGGGCGAGGGGGCATTTCTCCACTGATCACACAGGGCGAGGGGGCATTTCTCCACTGACCGCAATGCAAGGGGGCATTTCTCCACTGATCACACAGGGCGAGGGCGGGCATTTCTCCACCGACTACTAATATAAGGAGACACTTTTCTGCTGACAGCGGGTGTAAGCGGACACTACAATTTTCGCTGTCTGTGTTTTATGTTCTATTATTATTATTGACAGACGGTGTGATAACACAATTGTCTCTGGGGGTGACACATTCCCGATATTCCGTATTCTTGTACAGCTCGCTGATCATACTATTTCCGGTGATTTGTAGATCTAATCATTTTCAGCCGGGGGTTCCCGGGAGCTCAGGACTATTGGAAGGGTCCCCCGAGGGTGAGGAGGCTGAGGAAGGCTGGAGCGGCGGTATTTCTAGTTTTCAGATGATAATTGTATCTTTTACCTGAACGTTATTTTTGATTGCGTTGTATTTTATTTGCATTGTCCACATTTGTCAATGTTCCGTCCAATGATAAGCTGAACACCAGGGAACGTGACTGGCATCTTGCAGAAAGGTAACCTGTGGATGCATTTAAAGCGTAACTATGGGCAAAATGCGTTCTGTCAGCATTAACATGGCAGTTAGAAGAGTCGTGTGTGTCACCCCCCCCCACCCCCACCCCTTGTAATGTTGTTTTACTGTCAGTACATCCGTCATTGTTGCACTTCCTGTAACAGGCCAATCTGTCTAACAAAAGTGACAGAGGTTGGGACAAACCATATAATAGGGTGGGGGGGTTGCTTACATTGATCAACTTTTATTCATATGGTTTAAACCTTGTTTTCAAAACAATATGGAACCTGTGGTAGCTGGTGTTTGGCTTTTATTTGTTTGTCTTTTACTAAAAGTCCATTTAAAACTTCATATGTATGTAAGACTACCCTCTCCCCAGGGTGCTACCCTCTCCCCAGGGTGCTACCCTCTCCACAGGGTGCTGCCCTCTCCCCAGGGTGCTGCCCTCTCCCCAGGGTGCTACCCTCTCCCCAGGGTGCTACCCTCTCCACAGGGTGCTACCCTCTCCCCAGGGTGACAACAAAAGGGTGCTGCCCCCTCCGTGGATCCAGCAGTATGTCACCTTCCCAATCGGCGATGTACTTGTCTTTAAAAGAGAACTATGGGGTAAGCTTTTTATCCCATAGGTCTCTTAAGGGTCACCGGTGGACATATACTAGCGTCCTCCAGTGACCCAAAGCTCAATATATAGCGGGCTATTGCTCACTATATACTTGGAGCGCCGCAGCCGGGGCGTATCCCGACAAGGCTGCCGAGATCCACTCAGCTGCGTGAGTGACAGCTGGCTCTGCCTATCTAGGGGCAGACCCAGCTGTGCCCGCCCCCTCCCCCGTCCGTTCCGCCAGTCAGCGTTGGAGGATCGGAGAGGGGAGGGGGTGGAATCCCTGCTAGGAGCGATGACTAAAGCTGGGCACACACCTTACAACCCTCGCAAGACTTTTGTCTTGCGAGGGTTGTAAGGTAATTAAAAAAAACGTACGATCTGCCTATCTTGGACAGGCAGATCGTACTTGCGATGATCGCAAGCACCGCCCCGCCCCGCTGAGGGGGCGGGCTTCCGATGACTAAACGTGCAATGCTGAGCGGGCAGTTTGCGCTTGCGCACACCGGCCCGTGTGGCTTTCATCTTGCGAACATGCCACAAACCAGCCGAACATCATACGATGTTCAGCGGGTTTTCGAACATGTTCCTAAGATGAAAGTCGTGCGACCGTACAGTAGCAGAGGTCGCACGAGCTCCGCGTGATTTCCCGTGATCATTGTGCGATTATCGTAAGGTGTGTGGGCACTTTAACAGTCACGGCTCACTGCAGGGAGATGATCAGAAAGTTAGCGAGCGTCGGTATGCATTCGCTCACTTCCCTATCTATAGAGCCGACTTGTGACAGTCTCATTGTCATTGTCAC